TCATAAGTCCACTCACATGGCCAAAATTTATTTAGGGGTTGTTTGGAAAGTGTTAGATTAATATATATTTTTTTATGTTTTACAAAAAAATCGTAAAATATGGGTTGAGTTTAGAGTGGTGTGGTAGAGAAGTGATGTGACTTAAACAAGATAATTGTTAGGGGTGCAACTCGGGCGGGTTCGGTCGGGTTGGGGGTCTGCCCAAGCCCTGACCCGAATTGTATTTGGCAGTGCCCAAGCCCGCCCAAACTCGACCATGAACCCGAGCATTGCTGCCCAAGCCCGGCCCGAGCTTTGTATTTTGAACTCAGGTTAGCCCGAATTGCCCGAATTGCCCGAGTCCAGAAACCTGTAGGTAGATCTAAGGGTAGACATAAAAGATGCTAATCTAATGGTAGAAGACTAACCAAAAAAAAATAAAAAATAAAAATTAAGACTAACTCTTTTACTTAATTTATATATATTATATAATTTATTAAATTATATATATATTATATATTATATATATATATATATTATATATTATATAATTTATATAATATATTAAATTCAATTCGGGTTCGGGTTACTCGGGTTGGCCATTGGTTCTGCCCAAGCCCGGCCCGAATTGTAATTCGGGCATAAAAAATTTGCCCAAGCCCGTCCAGATTACAAGATATAGTTGCCCAAGCCCTAAAAAAACTCGGGCTGGGCTCGGGTTGCTCGGGTTGAGCCCGCCCGAGTTGCACCCCTATCCATAAGTAAGTTCAATCATGGATTTGAAAAAGCTTATGTACTAATCTGGACAAATAATTTTGTTCTTTCTAATATCTTCTTTTTTCCCTTTTCCACAGCTCAAATATGTATATGCTAAACTAATTAGCACATATATGCAAACCTGTAGCCATTAATAGCAATCCAGCTTACGCACCATTAGTGGGACACATGCTAAGGAACAATTATCATAACCTGTTGGTCATGTTTTTATTTATTTTGAGAAAAGTTAAACCTAATGAATATGATATTTCTCAAAGTTGGATAGTGGTTGTTATTCATAATTATTATCATTGGAAAAGAATAAGGAAAAGATAGTTAAACACAAATGATCTTGTATTGTGGCCCTCGGGTTTTCGATGGAAAAGACCCCTAAATTTTATATATCACTATTAAAAAAAAATAACCAGTCTGTCATCTTTTCATAATTATTGTTGTTATCGTTTCAGAGAATTAGAAAAAGATATTATTATGAGAACATAAATTATCTTATATTATGGGCCTAGGGTTTTAAATGGAAAGAGACCCTTAATTCTATATATCACCATTAAAAAAGTTTATCTCTTCCCTATTACTACACGATAATAATGAGACAGATTAATGTCCATTTCAAACAATCATGGATTTGAAAAAGCTTATGTACTAATCTGGACAAATAATTTTGTTCTTTCTAATATCTTCTTTTTTCCCTTTTCCACAGCTCAAATATGTATATGCTAAACTAATTAGCACATTATATGCAAATCTGTAGCCATTAATAGCAGTCCAGCTAACGCACCATTAGTGGGACATATGCTAAGGAACAATTATCATAACATGTTGGTCATATTTTTAGTTATTTTGAGAAAAGTTAAACCTAAGGAATATTATGGTTGCGTTTGGTTGTGTTTTGTAAATGTGATTTGAGAGTATGAATTGTATTTTGAATTTGTGTGTTGTAAAATTATGATTTGAGTGTAGAAAATTTGTTTGGTAAAGAGTTTTGAAAATAGTTTTGGAAAAGATGTTTGATTTGAGTGGGGAATTGTTGATGTGATATTTGATATGTGATACAAAAATTTACAACTCATAACTAAATATACAACTCAAAATTATTTTAAAGCACATTAAAAATTAAAAAAATTTCAGAAATTTTTTTTTCCAATTATATAAATCAATTGCAAAAAAAAAAAAAAAAAAAAAAAAAAATTTCCTGTACAGCAGAGGACATCCAGGTGGATGTCCCCATGGACGTCCGGGCGGTAGTCCCTAAGGACGTCCGCGTGGTCTTCCCCTGGCCAAAATTTGAACAAAAAATGCGGCTCTAATATAGAGCTCTCTGCAGAAGTTTGGAAAGTTGATTCCAAACACACAACCAAACATCATACTGAAATACACATGTGGAATTACATTTTGAATTCACAACCAAACAGAGTCTTAATTTTTTAAAAAGTGAATCCTAAAATAAAAATCAAACAAGCTGATAAATTTCTACTTTTGGGCCCCACCAAATAAAACTTGCTCGGTCAATTGATTGATTGTCTTCCCCTTCGTTGGAACAAATCAGGTACGATCCAAGCGTGATCTTCGCGTGCAACTTGCAATCGGATGCGGGAGAGGCAATTGAAAGGCGCCTCTCTCTCTTCGTAGACCCGCGGTCGCGTTGGAAAATAAATGAAAATTTATTAGGCCCCACTTGGAATATTAGGCTTGGTTTAGCATAATTAAAAAAAAAATCAAAAACTTACTATCTTATTTAAATCACATCATCTTTCTACCACATCACTTTAAATCCAACCCATACTCAACTCATGTTTCGTAAAAATTCAAAAAGTACACTTATTTAGTTTATCCCAAACAATCTCTTAGTTTGAGCTAAAATAATTATATAGGACAAAATAACTTATTTTAGTTAAATATGATAGAATATTATATCCAACTCATAATTATTTTATTTTTTTCTCACAAAAATCAAAAAAATTAAAAAACCTATCACAAACAAAACTTTTTAACCCCAGATTAAAATAGTCAAAAAATCAACTCACATTCCAAACGAATCCTAAAAGAATCTTCTTTACGTTTCGTAAAAATTCAAAAAGTACACTTATTTAGTTTATCCCAAACAATCCCTTAGTTTGAGCTCAAATAATTATATAGGACAAAATAACTTATTTTAGTTAAATATGATAGAATATTATATCCAACTCATAATTATTTTATTTTTTTCTCACAAAAATCAAAAAAGTGAAAAAACTTATCACAAACAAAACTTTTTAACCCCAGATTAAAATAGCCAAAAAATAACTCACATTCCAAACGAATCCTAAAAGAATCTTCTTTACAATTATTTGTATTTTAATTACTCTATAAGATATTTTTATATTTTAATAAATTCTATTATTTTAAACATTTAATCCATCAAATTGTAATTTTTTTATTTAAGATATTTTATAAATAATTTTACCTTCATAAATATTTTTTAAACTCTTAATAATTTAGTGATGTGAACATTCACATTAAATAAATTTAACAACATGAATATTTATGTTAACAATGTAAGTATTCACATTATAAAATATTTATATTGATAATGTGAACATTAATACGTGATTCACCTATTATTATTATTATTATTATTATTATTATTAAGATTTTTTTGAATTATGTCACCCGAATATTTATTGAAACAGTAAAATAATAATTTGAATTAAACAAAATATAAATAAATGTAGAGAAATTTATAAATAAATACCTCGTATTTATCCGGATTCGGATTTGAAGGATGAAGGAGCAAGACCACCGTACAGTTGCATGTAGGCCATAATTTTACTCTGTTGGAGTGGGATGCCACGTGTGTGGGTCGACGACGGTTGGACGGTTGATATTCGATGTGGGCGCACTTGATCGCCTTCGGGGCTTTGTGATTTCGTCCCACATGTATGGTGTCCTTTGATTTGTTGATATTATTCTTTGGCCTCTTGGCCGACCAAGTTTTCTATTAGGTCCCCAACCAATGGAAGCTTACTTTAACACGTGTCTACCAACCAAAGTCACCTTTTTTTTAGATAGGAAACCAAAGTCATCTAAAGTCACCTTATTATTAACAAAAGTGTAACACTATGATAAATTCTGTATAAATAATTTGTTGGCAGTCCCGCTGCATATCCCCAGTTGGGGTCGCGCCCCCAGTGACGTGGCGCGTCTCTACTGGCTAAAAACTCAAAAAAAAAAAAAAAAATTTTATATTTTGGTCAATCCCGGAGTGACACCTCACTGGGGGTCGACCCCCAGTGGGGGTAGGAAGCATTTTTCATTTGCTGGTTAGTTTTTCCTCAACAAAATTATTGGCTAGGTATCAATATAATTTATCTATTTTCTTGTTGGGTAAAATTTGCTAGTAATTTATCATTAAAACCAAAAAAAAAAAAAAAAAAAACAATTTTTTTTTGGACCAATCCCAGAGTGACACCTCATTGGGGGTCGACCCCCAGTGGGGGTAGAAAGCATTTTTCATTTGCTGGTTAGTTTTTCCTCAACAAAATTATTGGGTAGGTATCAATATAATTTATCTATTTTCTTGTTGGGTAAAATTTGCTAGTAATTTATCATTAAAAAATTTCACACAAGTTGAACTATGATGAACTAGTCATTTTCGACTGAAATTATAAGGGAAGATGATAGATAGGTTACATTGAAAATTTAAATACAAAATTAAAATTGATAAAATTAAATTATAATAATTCCAATCTAAAAAAATTAATAATTTAAATAATTTTTTTTCAAAATTATAAAGACCAATAATATAATTTACCTTTAAAAATGAAAGATTAAATAATAGTTGACCTTATTTTCTGTCACTCAAGAAGAAGCACTATGAGGTAAATACCAACTTTTTGAACAGTAATCTCTTACAAAGAAGACATTAGCAAAACATGAAAACAAATACATTCCTTATCATTCGACCACTAACTAGTATTTTAAATTTAACTCTTACATAATAAAATTTAAACTAAGAATGAATTTGTATCACACTTTATGTTTGAGTTTTTTGTCCTCACTATTAATTATCGTATAGTAATGCAATTCACGTCATCCAATAGCTAAGGATCCTCATTCCCAAATGCTTCTGTCACTTTGTTTTAATATATTTCTAGTCATTAAATTATGGGATAATTTTAAAATATAAAAATCTCAAAACATAATATAATAATTGAAAATGCATTAGAATAGAAAAACATGAACATTTAGAAATAGAAAGTCGTGTGCCATCTAATAATAGATGTAACTACCATATTTAATAAACAGATCATACACATAGAACTTCCTTTCTTCATGAGTAAGTAAAGTACACTTCTCACCAGCAATTCAGAGAGGAGATGAGCTTGGACATGGCTCAAGATAGTCAAACATGTCAGACGGTAACTCATCGAAGAAACTGTCAGGGCTTGCAAGCCTGTCGTTATTGGCTCTTCCATCATCCCTCCCAATGCCCTCCACTTCAAAAAATGGTGAGCCAAAGTTGATTAGTTGTGACACATCTCCAAGTTCAAAGGCCTGTTGTTGATGACTAGTGAACACATCAAGAAAGTTGGGTTCAGCATGGCTTTCTGCCAAGATTGGGAGGTCTAGTTTTGAGTTTGGTAGGTGGGTGAAGGAGAGTTGGAGTAGGATTTCATTTGAAGGCTTTGTATCTGTTTCTGTGGTGTTAAGTGAGGGTTGGCTTGAATCTATGTTGGCCATGTTTGGGTTCATAAAATTAGGTTGTGGCATTTTGTGGATCATTTTAGGGTCCTCCATGGAAGAAGAAGAGCAAGGTTGAAACTTTGAATAGGATTCTTCTTTCATTTGTGGGGAAGTGAACTCGGGTGCCTGATAGTATGTATACATAGTTAGAAAAAGGAAAATGATTTGTAATACAAGAAATTTTATCATGATGATATGACAGTGATATTTTTTAAATAATAAGTCAATTTGATAAATTTTTTAGTTCAAAATATGAAACAAATGAATACAAATTTGTCAATTCGTTGCGTGTAAATTTTCTGTTGGTATATTATTAAAATAACTACAAAGTGAAACTACGATTAAACAACTCTATTTTATCTAGTAATTAGGATATGTTTAATTCACTCTTATAATATCCCAAGATAAATTTAACCTGAGGAGGATATTTTCGTCATCTTGTGATGAATTCTAATCCCAAAACAAGTTGTATGACCTCTGTCAACAAAATAATCCCACATTCATAAAATCAAACATGATTGAAAACAACTACTTACACAACCCTGTCCCAAATGCTTGTTTAAGGTTGAATTGTTAAAATTTTAGAAAAAAATTGCAAAACATTCATCACCGTTGAAACCAGATTACATGAAATTTAAGCATTTAAAAACCTTTATCATATGATAACAAATCAAACAAAAACATTGAAGCAGACCTGCAAAGTGGGCATTTCATGAACAGCCAGAGCATTATCTTTGCTTTTGTGTGACTTGGTCTGTCGCGGCGGCGAAGTTGACTGAAGAATTCTAGCCAGCCTCTTCTTCCTACTACTCCAAAAATTCTTGACATCATTGTCAGTTCTTCCCTGCAAATGCGACGCAATCGCTGCCCACTTGTTCCCAAACCTTGCCTGCATCTCTATCACCACTCTCTCTTCCTCTGCTGAAAACTTACACCCACTTTTCATTTCACCACCATCATCATCAACAGTCATTAGCATTACAATCCATATATGTAGATATAGAATTTAAAACCCATGTAACACCACCATTAAAAACCAAAATTGATAAACCATAATTTCTTAGTGTTTCCAAAAAAAAAACAAAAAAACATAGAGTTGGAAATTTACATTTTCAAATTGGGTCTGAGCTTGTTGACCCATCGGAGACGACAGGACTTGCCAGTTCTGGGCAGGAGTCCCATGGATCGAATGGAGCTCCAATCTCTAGGGCCATACTTGTTCACAAATTTGACAAGTACTTCATCTTCCTCGGCTGTCCATGGACCTTTCTTGATCATTTCTTCTGATTTGTGTCTTTCCATGTCACCAAACACTCTCCTTCCTTTTCTGACTGAATACCCAAAACAGATTGTTTTTTTGCTTTTGATTTTTGATGATTTTTCAAATACAGGGTCTCAATTTGTGTCTACATTTTTTGTTTTTGTTTTTGTCTTTGCTTTTGTTTTTTTGTTTTTGCTTTTGTTTTTTAAATTTGTTGGGTGTGTGTGTTCACTTGAAGATGGCGGTTAAAGCGGTTACTGGTAATGTCCATCACACCACGTTCCCATTTTTTTCTCCCAAATTCAAAGTAGACTGAAATTACAATAAAATCCCCAAATTCGAAAAGATGCAATTATAAAAAGAAAATTAAAGGAAAAGAAAATTAAATTGAAATGAAAGAAGCTAATTTCTTATTTTTTGTAGGTTGGGATAAAGTTTTTTTAAAAAAAAAAGTAAATTACACTTTACCCCCTTTATGTTTGAACATTTTCTCTCTTTGGTCTCTAAAGTTTGATTTTTCTCACTTTAACTCTTTATGTTTTAAGTTTTTTTTTTTTTCAGTTTACTCATAAGGTTAACTTTTGTTCAAAATTAGACAAAAAGTGTCACGATAACTATTACATAACATAAAAAATATATTATTAAATTGAGGTTTGAGTTTGTGTCAGAAGTGTGAATTACATACAATAAAATATTTTTATGCTACGTAACTATCAATGTGCCATTTTCTATCTAATTTTCAACAGAAGTTAACTTTAAGAGTAAACTGAGAAAAACTTGAAGCATGAAGGGCCAAAGTGGAAAAAAATAAATTTTAAGGGCTAAAGTGAGAAAGTCACTTAACATAAAGGGGGCAAAGTGTAATTTATCCCCAAAAAAAATACATAAGCCTTTCTTTATATTAATAAATAATAATAATAAATGGTAAATTATCCTTTTTATACCTAAAGTATAGGGTTTGTATCATTTTGATCCACAATATTTAAATTGTGTATATTTAGTTCTCAAGTGTTTTAATTTGGTCTCTTAACTTAACTCTATTTGTAGACATCGTTAAGGTCATCAGTAAATGCGGAAATTCAATTAAAAAATTGCTCATTCAATATCCAAAGTAAGCGATATGTGTCATGTTGGTCTCTTATGTTTAAGTTGTGTCAATTTAGTTCTCAATATATAAAATGTGTTTTGATTTGGTCCTCCAACCTAATTTCTTCTCATTTTTTAATAAATAAGGGATAAAATTTAGAAATCCTAAATATAAATAATTAAAAAATAAAAAATAGTCAAAAGATAATTTGTCGAGAAATATTCCAGTAATTCAATATGTATATATTATTTATAGGGAGATTTATTAGAAAATCATTTTTCAAGTGTTTGTATTCCAATTAGTTCATAATATATTATTGTATTCCAATAAGTTTTATTATTTGAACATTTGATCTACCAAATCATGATTCTCATAGTTAAAATATTTTATGGATATTTATACTCTTATAAATATTTTTTGAATGGTTAACAATTTGGTGATGTGAACATTCATATTTTACAAAGTGAATTTTCACATTAACATGTTAACATTCACATTGACGGTGTGAATATTCACATTGACGGTATGAACATTCACACTGTAAATGTAAATATTTTTAAGGGTATTTTGGTAACTATGTCATTCATAGGACTTATTAGAATATAAAAAATAATATAAATTAAATGGAAGATAAGTAAGTGAAAAGGAATTTATGAAAAAGTATTCTATATTTACATATCAAAACATATCAAAGGGCGTGTCATAGGAACAGGCAATTTTTGTGATGAAAAAATTGTCAATGAAATACAAATCATCCCCCAAAAAAAAAAAAAAATGTCAACTTCTTTTGAGGGAAATATTTTTAGTATTATAAGAATATATAATTTCCTTAATGCAAAAAAAATAAAAATAAAAAAATTGCTCAAATCTTGGTTTTTGCCATGAATGAGATCTCAGTTGTCAATTTTATTGGTAAGAATTTTTTTTGTCCCAAATTTTTTTTTTCTTGTAGTGCGTCATTCAATATGCTTTGGTACATAAATACCACACATATTAGATAACCAAAATATTTCTCTCTAAATTATTTTTTTGGTTTTTTTTTTTTTTTTCATATCAGATAACCAAAATATGTATTTATTGTTTCCATGTTTTACCCTTGGCTTAGATGAATAGAGACGAAATTAGTTTTTTTTTTTTTTTAACAACTCCGGACATGAACCCTTTAAAGTTAAATTGAAGCACTTTCACACTTTGAGGACTAAATTGACACAATTTAAATATTTAACGGTCTAAATTGACATAAACCTCTTACTTTAGGAACTAAAAAAAGGAGTTTTTTAATTACATTTTCATATTTACACCTAACTTTCACAACATCTACTAACGACGTTAGGTTGAAGACCGAAGACCTCAATCAAATCTCATCTTGATATCTTCATAGCTAAATTGATTTATAGAATTAGAGACTTGGTTCTAGTGCATTCGCATACATACAATCATTCTCAAATCGTGTAGTAATAGGAGTTTCGTGTATTAAAAATCTTTTAAAATTTACATGTTATAGAGTTCTGTTTGCACCATAAATAAAAATTTTATTACTTATTATAATCATTGTTATTATTATTATGATTATGTAGGAAAATCTTGAAAGTTAAGAGAAGTTAAGTCAAGTTTTGAAGATTCAAGGGATGGAGGATAAGTAGCAATGTAAGAAGGTGAAAGTTATATGGATGGTTAGATAATGGTTAATAGAAGTTTTTTCCTACATTTTTTTTTTTTGTATAAATTGTCATTGATGGCTTTATTGTAAGGAGGACCAACAAATCAATACATGACTTGATTTTCATTTCTTTCCTATTCTAGGAGTAGATCTAATATACATGAGAGTAGTTTAAACTTAGATAGAAGTAGTCTTAATGTACTTTACTTGTATTTGATTGTTTATTCAATCATTTATATCATCATCATCTTCTTCTTTCTCTCTCTCTTTTTTTTTTGTTTTTTTGTTTTTTTGTGTGTTTGTTTTGTCATTCTTTTTATTCCAAGGAAGTCCTTGAACTTTCAAGGCATAAGACCTCAACACAATTGCTTTGATCATTTTGTTGTTTGGTGAGATTTTGATTAAGGCTGTATCGATCTAAGCCAGTGAGACATCATCCTAACTTGGAGAAAAAAAATATGATACAAACAAAATATTAAGAAATTATGTCATCAAGTGGCATGTTTGCATATTGTGCACCCGTGGATGCAAACTACCAATGGAGTGATAATGCTCCAATGGGTATATGAATTATTATTAGAATGCCTCATCTTCCATGTATAATGATTGTCAATATTATGACAATAATTCTACCGTCTATTGCCAATATAATAGCATAACAAATGATATGGAAAGAATAATTTGACGTTTTGAGGATGAAATTTATTGGCGCAAGAATGAAATTTTGGCTCTACAAGAAGACACTAATTCTTTTGATTGGCAAAAATTTCAAATAATTCCATCACTGCCATATTATTTGATACAAAAAGGCATAAATTACTTTGATGAAAAAACTCGTCAACTTAGTGTAGACACCCTATTTTTGACCGCCTTTAAGACTTGGACGCTACTGATTGTTTACTTGGTGATGAAGATGTGCAGTGCAAAGATTCGATTTCTTCGGCAAGAGGAGCTTCAACTCCGAACCTCACACCCCATTTTTGGACTAAAACTATTTCGACCAAAGATTTTAGATCTTAAAACACTCTCTTTCAAAATGTCTTTGAAAATGATTCTACGATGCTCCGAGGCTCGCATTTTGTTAAATGTTGTGCTTTTTGGTAAACCGAGCAAAGATAAAGTGGAAATGAATGAAAGAGAGGTAAAATCTTTAAAAAATATTTCAAAACACCTTATTTAGGGGTTTGGAGTTGAAGAAAAGAGGAGAGGGGAGGAGAGAAGAAAACTAGTTGAGGAGAAGTTTGGCATGAATCCGGGTAGGATTGAAACTGAGCAGTCTTCACTAAAAGAGACATATCTTCTTTCATACTTGGAATTTTGATGTGAGGATTCCACCATTGGAAATAAGACTTCAAGGGCTTCAATTTAGGCTCAAGAATGACCTGCAAAGGAGTCCAGATGAAGGAGTTATGTCCGGTTGAAGTTAGGCCCAAAAAGTAGATTTTTCTAGCCAACCAGAAGTGGAGGATGCTGGCCATAAATGGGATTTTCTGGCCATGTGCCGGCCATGAATGGCCTTTGCCGACCCCCTGCCATCCAATAGTGATCCATGCTAGCCAACAATAGACATGTGCCAGCCATCAATGATGGCTTGCCGACCATCGATGGAAAAAGTCAGTTTTTTGTAGATATTTGTTCTCCAGCTGTTACAGCTGTCCCTTTTGGGATATTTTCAACTTAGAGACTCATTCTTCTATATATAGAGAGTCTTCTCTATGGTTTTAAAGGTTAGAAAGTTTGGGAGCCTCTCTCTCTAAAAATCTCTCACTCTCTCTACAATTTTGACAGAATTTTGTGAGCAAAATTTCTGCCTCTCTCTAGAATCCTCTCTCTCTTCCCATTTTGTGCTTGAAAATGGAAATTCTCTACATATTTGCATACACCCCCTTAACCAAATTAGACTACCTTGTAGCTGAGGTTCTTGGAGGTCTTATTTGAGCTCTCAATGCTGGTTTTGGCTTAGAAAGTGATTGTTTGTTATTGTGCTTCAAAGGTATAAGCTTAACCCCTTTTAAGCTTATTTTTGCGCACTTGTTTGGCCACCTTTGCATGCTATTTTTGGCCTAACTTTCAACTACAAAAACCTCTATTTTTAAGGTTTAAAAATGATGGTTTAAGGCCTTTTGGAGTTAGGGGTGGTCCACCTTCTTTTGTAGCTTGTTTGCTAAGTGTTGAGCCATCTTTTAAAGCTTTTCAAACAACTCTTTTTTGGCCTTTTAACCATTGAATTCTAGGGGAATTTCAGTGGAAAAAACTTGATTTTGAGGTCCAAAATATGAGGGGTTGGCCTCTCCTCCTTGTGTCTTGTTTGCATGAGTAGATAGCCTAACATGCGAGCATATTTTTCTAACATTTTATGACTTGATCTCAGCATGTTTTTGCTACTTTTTTTACTTGTTTTACCTCTGTTTGGGGC